CCAGCACAGCTGTAATTATTCACCAGTGTCAAAGTGAATGGGAGTCATTCTTCCTTGCTTCTTTCTTTTCAAATGTACCAACAGAAGCCTAAAATTCTGTTGCATACTATGCATGTCCATGTGAGAGGTGTTTATGTACATACATGCGTGTGACTGTGCTTCTTGCGTGTTACGTGATGAATACTCAGACAGTCAGACCTCTGATGACATCAGTAAAACCGGAGCAGTTTCTACTTCTTCGACTCTCTACCTTCTACTACGGATTTATAACTGAAAACATATCTAATGAATTTTAGGACTGCTTAGGGTGTTCCTGTGTCTATACATGAGCATATGGATGTAAATGGGAAACCCACACTTCCTGAGAGAGTCCATGAGCAAAGACTGTCACTGCTTGCACATTCCCTTTTACAAGAGGCTCAGAAATGCCAAGCCATTTCAGCTGATGGCATCATAACAATAATTATATTCTGAACTTTACAGCTGACAGCATTTCTCAAAGAAATTCATTCATAGTGATGTTAAGGACAAGGCCAGCTTTGGTACATGTATTGCTATATACAACTCAGTAAAAATAAAAACTGGAATTTCTAGGTAATAAAGCATAACAAAATTACTGTTTTCATGGGGTATAACATAGATAAATCATACAAACAATTTTCTCTAGATACTAAATATAAGTTATGGCAAAGTTATTCTAGTTATTTTCATGACAAGCATCAATCATCTCTTTTGATTGATACACAATTGCAGATCTGATGAGAGCACTAAGCATCTTCCTTTCAGGATAAATGGATGAAGAAATTAAACATCTGCTTATGAAAGGGTAGTGAGAGACAACTGGAGGCTATTGCCCAAGAAAATGCCTTTAATTACAAAGGCTGGACTAAGCCCGATGGTCTAAAGAAGCTGGGGATTTATTTCAGTGACTTGAGTGAAAAAAAAAAAGAAAACAAAACTGTGGAATTTATGCAGCCATTAGAGGGTTTATAGGGAAAAGCAGGTATACTCTTTTCTTCTCAGGCTCTCTTTCCACAGGCGTGGAATAAGCAGCAGGAAAACCTGAACTAGTGAAAAGAAAAACTCCCTGTTCTGGTTTCTGTCTTGGCAGGACAACAGAGTTTTCTATACGCCATTTGTAACATGTAGCATTATACCAATGAAGTGCTTGTATTGTTGGAAAATTATTTGTATAATTTTAACCATTGGAATAAATTCTGAATTCTATTAGTTCAGCACCCAAATCTGTTTAAAATATTTGTCCCTTTGCCTTGTGCTCGCTTTTCGACACTGTACTGGCCAAAACTTAGAGACATGACTAATGAGTTCAAGGTTGCTGTACCTTGAAAGATGTCCAGGTAAAATGCGATGCATTTATGTTCATGAGCTGTCTTTAACACCTCGGTTTAAAGAGAAACTGCCTAAAGAAACTTGGCTTTCCTAAGCACAAGTTGAACCACAAGGTCTTCTATGGGACGAGTGAGATTGGAAAAAAAATGAGAAGATAAACAGCAATACTTACTTATGCAGTCACAATTAATAATCTCTTTACCTTCTTGGTTTAATAAAGCAATAACGTGCTTAAATCCCTTGAGAAAAGAGAGCGAACTGTATGCTTTTACATACCATTTCTTCTCATGGAAAGCTAGTCAGGATGCTCGTGCCTCCAGTGAGATTCCGGGAAAGAGCATTCACCGGGCATCTGTGCACTGCTATTCCTGACAACAGGTACCCATAGTCACACTTGCACTTGTGTGCAGTGGCGGTGCTGAGTAATTGGTCTCCTAGTCCCAACTCTGAACATGCTGAAAAATCTTGAATGGGCTCTGCTTATTATTTAAGGCATAAGAAATCCCAAGACCTTTCAAAGGCAACCTGCTGCCTGAAAGACAGGATAAGATGTGTAAAGGAGATGAGAGTATTTAGGTTTGCAGACATGCTCTTAAGCATATAGCTTTTCCTCTAGCCTCAAGATACTAGATGAATTTTGAGGTTCAGATTTTTGGCTGTATGTTCAGAGAGTTTTGTAGGATTTCTGCATCTTTGTTTTGTAGCTGGAGAATCTTCCTCCTACCCAGCAAATCCTACCGCCCACACAGCAAATAGATATCTTTTGGCACTGACTGGTACACCATTCATAATACTGTATAAGAGCTCATGTATAGTGTGTGGGGATAACAACACCATATCACAGATAGTAAAGAGGATAGGATAGCAACTAGTATCACTACCACTCACTAACCAGCAGAGCCCAGAGTGGAAATCCAAGGCATACTTGTGAGCAGAATGATGCTGAAAGAAGAGGGATGACTCCAATGAGACCCTCAGTATCCATGGGAGATACAATGATGAAGTCTCCTGAAGATGACAGTGAGTAAAGGATAGAACATGCCTGCTCTGAAATCCATCTTCTGTTTGTTAGTTTTCATGCACTGTCTCTATGTCACACCAAGGACAAACTGAAGGCTACAATATAAATAAGATGTCTGTTGGAGAAATATGTTTCTTGTTATATGCTTTATAAGGCAAAATCAAGTTAGCAATTGAAGTACTCTGGACAGGACAGGTAACATCTCTCAGAGGAGCACAGAATGCTTCATTTACATTGCAAAGGGTGAAGAGTGAGAGTCAAATGAAGCCAAATAGGGAACTGAGTTGGAGTGGAATGATTTGTATTCTAAATATGGGATTTTTTGTCTCACTTCCAGGACAATGCCAGGAGTGAAATACCGGATTTTCACTAAAAGAGAATACTGATGTGCAATATGCCACTGATTTCATGAAGATTACTTCTGCTTCTGATATTCACTTGTAGACAGTAATGTGAGGAACAATTAGAATGCCTCAGAAATTAAAAAGCTTGGTGATGTTATAACTAATAGTGTGAATATTGGTTGTTTTATCCCCTCCATGATGATTGAGAATTTCACCAAAATAAATCCTGAGTAACTGTCAAGAACAAAGACAATTTTCAGGTGTATCTCAAGTGTGATTTTTTTTCATTTTTCTATTCCAATTTTGTGTGCTTGGAAACTCCGTTTTGGTTGCTGTTAGCTTTTGTGTAACACTTTGTTGTTATTTTTATAAACATGGCTCAAGCTGATTGATACACTGTTGCTCCAAGAGAAACAAATTTACCCTTTCTGATGTGTATTTTTAGGGATAAATCTTAGAAGTCTAATACATATTTCTAATTATTGTGTGGGAAATTAACCATGTTGAATTTCACTGAGTGTCTCTAATGTATCAAAATATGAAAGACAGATAAACTAACAAACATAAGGTGTTAGCACAGTGAGAAGATATTTATTTATAAGCAGCATTTAACACCATTTAATTCACGATTTTGCTTTCTACTGACCATCTGTCATAGCTGCTCTCAGCCTCACAAACCCCGTGAACTTTGCCAGTGCTGGTGTTAGACTTGAAAAGATGCTGCGCCCACCCACCGCTATCACTCAGACCCGTAGACCATATTGTGGCAGCATGAAACAAAGAGTGGTTTTGGCAGGAACTAGAAGAGGCTGCTCCTCTTTGGCTGCTTCCAAAGTAGGAGGCATTTAATTGGATTAACTGGACTGAGGTCACTATTGCTGTAAGAGGTAGCATCAGGTTCAGTGTCAGATGACCTCTTGGTAATCAGAATATTCTTAATCAGGGTCATTTGAGAAATGGTGAGAATTAAACCCATGTTTCAAGACTGTACTCCCCTCACAAATGAGGTTATAGCAAGACCAGGTGAAATGCATTTGGTATTTCAAAAATAGCTTGTATGGCATAGAAGTAGTCAGGAGCTTTTAAAATGCAGATTATAAAAACCTTCTTAGAAACCTGAAAAGCAGTGGACACTCACAAGCTATATTAATGACTTCCTTCAGTGCAGCCTGGCACAGCTGATTGCAATAAACATCAAAAGACTTTTATCAAATATTAATTATTTTTAAATTCTCTTTAAGACATGTGGACATGGTAGTCCATTCCTTGTATTCAGCTCACAAACATATATTTTTAAAGCCTGTGGATCCTGACATGCATATTTGTCACATTGATACAGAGATAGTTGCTGAAACTCCCATTTATAGTCTCCTGGGACTATCCAACAGCTCTGGGAGGAGTTTTGTTAACTTGTGTTCTTTGCCACTATCCTCACACTGGCTGAGGAGGAACTATTCTCACCTCTGTTGTAGAGTATGTGCATCTACACTATTTTACTACTATTTTACAGAGTGTAGAACACTGATTTTCAAACCCCTGTTTGCAAACTTTCTTGCTTTTTTGAAAATTTGTGCCTGCCTTAGGCTAGAATTTCCAAATGTATTTCAGATTTGGCAACTAAAGGAAGTAAAAATGGACAAGAACCATCCCTCAGATATGCGCAGATAGAGGTAGTACAATAATAATAGTGGTATCATTGAGTAGCTATCATTTTTTACAAGATTGTAATGATTTGATTATCTTAATCCTGTTATTTTGACATTTCATATAAAATTTTGGGTATTCATGTTATTGGCACCCTGTTACTGACCTCTGATCTGCTTATTATCAAGAATAAAGCTTGGGTACGCTTTGTAAACAACAGTGGTATCTGCTATGCTTCTGTATCTCTTTAGCATTCTTTTATTGCCCTAGTGAACACAGAAAATGCCTTGTGAAATAAAAGAGACTCATGGACTCCATAGGACATAGGGAAGGTATAGTAGTCTGAGGAAGTGCATGAAGCTGGAAGTGCCTTTTTTTTCAAACTATTTGAAGACGCACATTCTGGAAACTGTTCTCTCTTCCCATTGGCAAATCTCTCATGAGAGTTGTGGTAAATTGGATGCAATCATTCCTCAAAATCTGCTCCATTAGCATAGATGTCAAGCTGGACCAGCCAGTGCAGGTCTATTGTCTGTATCATGCCTAAAGTGTTTGCCTGCGTACCTTCAAGCGTGCCATCTCCTGGATTTCCCCACCTACACTGAATGCATATGAATTACAGGTTGGTTCCTGCACTACAGGTGGACTTGTGGCAGCCCAGCAGCCCCTTCCACATCGTCGAAGGCACAGTCACTGACGTGCGAGTACCACAGAACACGACCCGAAGCCTGCTGCCCTACCTCCAGCAAGCAAACATCCAGTACACGTAAGTCCATGCTTCACTTTCCTTGCCTTGCTCCAGAGATCAGGCCTTCCGGGCAGGTCTGCCTCTACCATGCCAAGTGCGCTTGGGAATACATTCCACATCACAGCAATTAGACTGGCAGACAAATAGGCACTGCCAAGAAAACAACCGTTTTAATGGGAGAACAGAAAATCTCCCACAGGCAGGCAGTTTTAATTAAATGTCCTCCTTTGGAGTCAAGCTGAAGTGTTTTCAATGCATGCAAAATCACATCTATTAAGAGAAGGATGGTAATTACTAATTCTACAGCCTGCTTTGCCTCTCTCTGTATTTAGCAGGAGCAAGGTTTATTTAAAAGTGTGCTGCAAATGCAGAGGAAAGCCTTCTTCATCAACTATACAGAAACATATTAGTTCTATTATTCTCCAATCCTAGTGACCCAACACAAGTCATATGACATAAATACACACACGCTAAGGATCACATATCATTTATAGTGTTCCTTAAAAAAAGTCAAGACAATTTGAAGTATACTTATCCTTTCATATTTAGCAGTATGATATACTGGACAAGAGTAATGATCTTGTCATTTAAGCCTTTTCAGTGAGATGCCTAAGCATCTGAATAATCAAGTGATGAGTTATTTGAATTCTCGAATATTTGCTAAATAAAGACCTACATGAGAGTATTTATGTTTATTTTTCAGTGAGAAAAGGATGGTGCAAATCATACTGTATATGTATGTACGTATGTAGTACTGATCAGAATTCCATTTTTATTATAACAATTGTCTCATAAATTTGTTGTTCTAAAAATATAGAAACAAATATAAGGAGATTAATGGAGATTAATTACACAAGCTCAGTGGCTGAAGTTCAGAGTGACTTTCATGTGTCTTCAACACCGCTTCAGTTTTGTTTATGTTTAAAACTGAGATGGGGATTTCTGTAATTGTTTTTCTGTGCTTATAAAAAAAAAAGTCCCCTAATTACTGTGCCCTAGCAGTTGTATTCACGTCTGTTGCTGTTCCTGCTCACAGTAATCACCTTTAATGAAATGACAGAGGACTGTTTTATATGTGTTATAAACACTCACTGTACTTGAAGACCTCTGCTTGGGTTGCAGAGCAGAGTGTGCAAGGGCAAGAACTGAAAGGGCAAAGGGTCTCTGCAGGTTACCTGAAACAACATGGTACAAATAGTATGACAACATTGCATTAATCTTCCACAGGGAAAAATCCCCTCTCTGACTTTTGGCACACAAGCTGTGTGCACTTAGAAGGAGCTGGACAGCATTTTGTCAGGTCCAGACTTTTCCTTTGCTCTCCCTCTTCCTCCCCCTGCTGCCCATCTCAGATGGTCCAAGCCATCAGAAGCAAAACTCTTCAAAGCCTCTACAAGCAAGCCTCTACATTCCTGACAAGCCTCCTGAGATCTGTAACTCTGAGCCACTGAGCTGAAGTGCATCTCCACAAGCAAGATTTTGTACATCTCCTTTTCACATGGCTGGTTTTCACAATGGTTTTTTTATTATTATTATTTAATTTTTGCACACTCTGCAAAGGAGTTAAAATTGCTACTTCCCTTTTGGAACTGGAAAATCTGAGGCAAACACCAGCTAGAATTTCAGCCTGATGATTGCTTAAATTATGAAAAATCTCTAAAGTTAGGAAGCATTAAGCTTAAATAGATTAAATTATGACAAATTTCTACAGTTAGGAAGCATTCCTAGTAATGAACCATGTGACTTGTCTGTAAAACAGGCTTATCTGTCTTTGGGCTTGACTTCATGACAAAATGGTCATGAAAACAAGCCAGGCATCAGATAAACTCTTTCTGCACCAAGTTGCTTCAGTTGTAAGTTTTCTGGTAAAGAAGGCACTTAGGTTGCATTAAAACCTGAGAGACTTAAGAGCCTTTCTGTTATAAGCACACAAAGTACGCAGTCACTTAAGAGTAAAGAATGATTATCAAATCTCATGCAGAGTACAGATGAATAAACAATCAGGAGTTATGAAATGTATTATTTTAAAAGTGAACAAACAGTGCTTGATTCTGGTAGGTGCTTACACTAATCCGAATTCTGCAAAGAAGTCAAGTGTTTTTTTTAAATATTAAATGTTTTAATAACTTGAATAAAACCACTCCTTTAATCTAATTACAGGCATTACAGTACTGGTCTTACAGTATATATAGTACTTTGAAAGCCAAGACTATAATTCTTTAGCTTGCTTAATGAATGTTGCTGATGTAGAACAATATAATTCCTAATTATACAACTACTTCACCAATGCATTTGAAGATGGGAATAACCTTTACTTTGATATTACATGTAGGTGGACCTATTATGTTTGAGGTACCTGCTGCACACCTGAGTTAGGAGCACAGTAAATGCCATTTCTTTCCATCTTTTTCCTGTCATTGCAGCTGATACCTGTGAAAATTTAAAAGGTTGAATGTGACTATCATTTTACAGGAATGATGAATTAGTGGTGTGGTGATTACACATTCCCATGCTTTGGGAGAAGTTGGCATACAAGTATTGACTCAGTTCTACAGTCATGCTGTTACTGATGTCAGTGACAATATTCCCAGATCCTGCTACTGCCTCATGGAATGGATAGATGCTCCAATTTCTTCTTTATAATTATTTTTAGATGTTTGCTATATTATATTTGTATTTGTATCATTATTTATTTTTGCCATAAAAGATAAGTGGAAAGATTTCCACTTACACAACTCTTTCTGCATTTTACTCATAATACAAAGAACCTTCTGCTTTTTATGCAAGTATATTTCATTTCCATTTGGTATTGTTTCATGGTTTTCCTGAGTTATTTTAATACAACTAGCAAACAAGTATTACAGCATAGATAATGTGAACAACAAAACACACTTGAGATTTTTTCTTTGTTTGCTGTTTAGGCAGAATTACAATGTTGCCACGTTCTTCTTTTTTTGTTTTGCCTCTACAACTTGTAACTATATGTAATGTTCCATGCCAGAAAAATAGTATGTGCATGTTTTTCTAAGCCTGAAAAGATTTTTAAATGGATTGAAATCGGTTTTTGAAGATCCATGATCACATAATATAACTGGATTACAAAAGAAGACAGCAAATGCTGCTCCATAAACAAATGAAAGTGGTTGCTTCTTCACATTGGTTAGATTATTTAAATCAACCTGTTTTAGTCATTTAACAAGTTCATTGTATTTTTGAAGGCACTGTTACATTTCAGAGCAGCTGGACTATTTATTTGGCAGCTTATATTCAAATGAGCCTGAAGCACTCTTTTGTCAAAATATAACAGATGAAGTAAAGTCAGGATGGTTTAACTCCTGCTATATTTCTTCTAAATGTGATTGTTGTTCTGACTTAGCTTATGTGTTCTAGTACATTTTCAGAAATACTGCTATCTTTTTTTTTTACTTAGGATTCTTATATCAGACCTACAGAAAGCAGTAGAAAACCAAACTGGACTGAGGTCGTATAGGAATCGAAGGTCCCTCTCTGGGTATAACTACGAAGTGTATCACTCCCTAGAAGAAGTACGTGAAAATTCATATTGTTCCTCTTATCTACTACATTCTCTCTACAAGTTCTGGTTACCTGTTCATCTTCAGAAGTGTTCTAAGCATTTCTTCTTCCAAAATAGGCACCTTCTTGAAAAATATGTTTTTTTAGTATTTGTATTCAAGACTTATCTTTATACATCACTATCTTTGACAGCTTAGGACTTTTTTTTTTAAATAGGTTTTTTACTCCAGTGGAATAAAAGATTTCAGTGAGTGATTAGTCATACTGACTCTTTTAAGCTATGTGACCAAATGCTTAAGTATTTACACAAGAGGCACAAATACTTAAAAATACATAGATGAAAATTCGTGTTTAACTATCCCAGATGATGGCTGGGTAAATACTTTCTGTTGATTTCTGTCTGCTCACATACGCAGTTTCAGTCTGCACCAAAGCAAAGTCACTAGACCAGGCATGGAGAGTGCTGCACGTCAAGAAGGTCTGGTGCCTGTGAAACAAATATTGCAGGTACCATTGAATCCTGCAAGTCAATCTGTTTGCCATTCTGTGTTCTGGCAGGCAGAATCAGGGACCTTCTTTCTTTGTTCCATTAGTATTTAGTGAGAATGGTGGAATAGCCCCATCCCCAGATTTTCGATGGACAGCTAATGCATTCCAGTAATATCCAACAATGAAATGGGAAAAAAATACTATGTAATTGAAGGCAGCATCCAGACTCTGGCAATAGAGCTATGAGAGCCAAATAATAGTTAAAATGTCAAAACAAAAACAAACAAGCAAGGAAGCAAGCAAAGCCAACAAACAAAAAAGACAAAAATAAAAACGATAGGAAAATCCCAAAACATACAGAGGACTGAGAGCTGAGATTAATAAATGTATTACATGTATTTCCCATGAAATGCAAAGACTGAAGCAATGATTTAATTTCTGTATTTGCAGATCCAGGACTGGATGCATCATCTGAATAGAACTTATTCAGATCTTGTTCACATGTTCTCTGTTGGAAAATCCTATGAAGGGAGACCACTGTATGTACTCAAGGTAAAGATTAAATTGTCATTAATCAGACTAAAGTCTGGAATCAGGGACAGACACTTTGTTACTTATGTTATAGCATGTACACCAGAGATGCAGCTTAATAGCATTTCCCAGGGATAAGTTGCTAAGATCTAAGTATCTCTCTGAATGTCATCTTCAATGAAGAAGGAAAAAAAAGGTGGAAAACTAAAAGGCAAATCCTATTTACTTGGATTGGTTATACATGAAGATAGATTACAGGACAAGTTCAATTAGCAGGGCTGGATTTAAGGGGATTGGAAATCTTTGTGTTTATAGACAACTAGGAGAGCAGTTACGCTGGAGAGGGACCCCAGAGGACTCTGAAGCCCTTCTCAGCCTGTGCCACATACACTTCCTTTTTAGCTGCTGACAAAATTTAAGGGCTGTGTGCTTCCAATTCACATGATTAGGACCACAAATTAGAGTATGTCAGCAAGACACAAAAAAATTTTAGTTTCAATGTATTTTCTTTTCATCTCCTGTTGAAGAGTTCTGAAAATTTGATTCTTCATCAGGCTATTCCTGTAGTGTCATTCTTCCTCACCCTACTCCATGTGATATTTAAGAATATCATTCCTCATAAAAGAGGAATTGAGAGATCTCACTTCTCCTTTCAGTTTTTTTTTCCATAGATCAGCCTCATTGTCTTGGCATACCTGCCAAACCTTATCTTGGCCATACCTTTGAAAAGAATAAATTTATGTTCCTTTATATGAGTAAATTCAAAATGGTTTAGTGTTTCTCATATTCTATTATTTTCTCATTATTGTGTTTCACTAATGTCATGAGATCTATTGATATTTTGTGAATATTCACACTTGAAGTTAGGTAAAAGATCACGGCCCTACAAGAAAGCTGTCTGGATAGACTGTGGAATTCATGCAAGAGAATGGATTGGCCCTGCCTTTTGCCAGTGGTTCGTGAAAGAAGTAAGTGTTTAAAGATTTGCAGTCATAAAGTTCCTTCAGTTCAATAAACTTTGCACTTTTCCTATGAAAGATCTAACATATTACTAGCAAGAAAAAGAACTAGCTCTATTATACTTCTTTTTTTATTATTTGTAGAATACTTAAGTGCTTGATACACAAAGCCGATAGCGACAGCCAGAGACAGCTAGGCACAGGGCAAAAATATGCCAGACACATATTGGCAGAGATATGAAGCACGATTTCATTCCAAGACCTAAAAATGTAAAGATTGTAATTCTGATTATAGTCCAGGTAAATCAGTGCCCATGTGCATTGCTTCAGATCAGATCAGCAGTATCTTTGCTTTAAGGACTTAGCTTAAGAAAGACATTTCTCTTTTGTGTAATTCCATAGGAATAGGAAGATAAAATCACAGAATCATTAAATAGAATCACAGAATTGTTTAGGTTTGAAAAGACCTATAAGATCATCAAGTCCAACTCTTAACCTAACACTGCAGAGTCCACCACTAAACCATCTTCCCACGTGCCACATCTAGACTTCTTTTAAATACCTCCAGGGGTGGCAAATTAACCACTCCCTGGGCAGCCTGTTCCAATGTTTGACAACCCTTTCAGTGAAGAAACTTTTCCCAGTATCCAATCAAAACCTTCCCTGGCTGAACCTGAGGCCATTTCCTCTTGTCCTCTCACTTGTTACTAGGGAGAAGAGGCCAACCCCCGCCTCACTACAACCTCCTTTCAGGTGGTTGTAGAGAGCAATAAGGCCCCCCCAAGCCTTCTTTTCTCCAGACTGAACAACCCCAGCTCACTCAGGCACAGCTCTGTCACCCTTTTCTGGAGACGCTCCAGCCTCTCAACGTCCTTCTTGCAGTGAGGACCCCAGAACTGAACACAGGATTTGAGGTGCAGCCTCACTAGTGCCGAGTATAGGGGAACAATCACTGCCCTGATCCTGCTGGCTACACTATTGCTGATACAGGCCAGGATGCCATTGGCCTTCTTGGCCACCTGGGCACACTGCTGGCTCATGTTCAGTTGGGTGTTGACCATCTCCAGGTTCTCTTCTCAGCAGGCATCTTTCCAGCCACTCTTCCCCAAGCCTGCATGGGATTGTTATGACCCGAGTGCTGGATCTGGCACTTGGCCTTGTTGAACAGCTGGCCTCAACCTATCAAGAATTCATCCACCATGTTTCCATTATGGCAACTATAATAGTTTTCCTGCTGTGCAATGGCTTCCAGATCGTCCTGTTTGTTGCCCATCCTGTGTGTAGATGTACTTCAGCTGGGCTATTGATCCTGCCACTTTTTGCAGGGAAGAGGGAAGAAGCCCTAATTCCTACATAACCATTCTCAGGCACTTCTGTGCTTTTTAACACATCATTAACTCTTGCATGTTTGCTGCCACATGGATCTCCATCCACTACCACCACTGAGATGGCAGACCAAAGAAACTCGCTAGAACACGGTCCCTCAAACATGGGTGTGCTTCCCCTAGGCTTATCTCTATTGAGCCTGGTTTTATCCCCTCTTCCCTTCAAATGTAGTTTAAAGGTCTTTCATAGAGGTCTTTCATGAGACCTGCTAACTTCTGAGCAAAGATCCTTTTCTCCCTTTGATACAGGTGTACCCTGTATCACCAGAAGCCTGCTGTTGTTTAAACCAACACATGATCAAAAACCCCAGAATTCTGCCAGTGACACCAGTCTCAGAACCAGATATTTATCTGCTGGTTCTTCTTCATAGATGGATTTCATCCAAAAATATGTATTTCATATTATCTGAGTATCATGCTATTCCAATGTTTCTTTGATCCTATCCTATTGGATTTATTCTCTTTGATGTCTAGGATTTAGCCTTCATATACATCCATTTGCCATCTTCCAAATGAGTGGTGAAATCAAATGGAATTTGAACTTTGCTTTCCCAATTGTCGGGGGGGGGTGGGTTGTTGGGTTTTTTGTTTGGTTTTTTTTTAATATCAGCACTTAATCTATTCTAATTTGGGATTCATTAGAGATGAATGATATATTTACAGGATTTTGCCTTTTCCCTTTAGCCAACAAACTTTTGTTCAATATGGGATATTAGCTGCACAATGGAGACTATCTTGCAATGTAATTCACAGAAGTCAAAGGTAGTTTAATAAAACCCCACAGGTGTGGTTTGAGTATTTTTGCATATCTTTTTTTTTTCTCCACAAAATAAGGGATGCAACCTATTTTTTACAGGATTCTTCCTATAAACACAATTTTCTCACTTTTTTTGCCACCCATGTCACTGTGGAATTCTGCAATGTATTGATACCTCCTCTGATTTTGTGAGAGTTAACTTGTGCATCATCAACATGCTAATGTGTTAGCTGAGATGATCATCTGACCATATATGGCCTTCCCTCAGAAGTCAGAGCAGCCTACAGAGCAAGCACAGAAATAATGAGGCCACAGCAGTTTGGATGAGCCCGTCACCATGGCCGCTGATGCATGGATAGGCTAAACCAGATCCAGGAGCCGATCTCCATAGTTCGGCATGCAATGATGGTGTGTCTTCTTATTAGGTCTCCTGTCAGTGTAAAGATAAACTAACTTACAACTATTTCTGAGCATCTTTTCTACCCAGGAGAACAGGCTGCAGTAAGTAAGGAAGATATTTGGGACAGACAGGCACTGATGGGAAAGGCTGTTGCCGAAGTACCTCTTCCTTATCAAGGTTTTCCCATAAAGCACTACAGTGTGGCAGCAAGGTAAAAGTCACAAGGTTTCTCCGTGGAGTTTATGGCAGAATATAGGCTCTGTGTATATAAAAACCTTCTGGTTAGTATCTGAGATCTTCAGAGAGTAGCTTACTAGTAAGGTTGCTTCACTAATTATGTAAAAGCACTTTCCTATAAAAAAAGTCTCTGCGCAGTCCCTCAGGACTACAAGAATGTACCACCTTTGTCTCCCCATCCCTTCTTAGAGCAATATTTCATCCAGCATTAAAGCAAAAAGCATCAGGAAAAGAATATATTATGCTCATAGTCTCCATCATTATATTAAAAATTACTGGGAGAGATAAGATGTTTAGATCACTTGGTTTAGGATATTGCTTTTCTCATTATATGAATTAGACATTTTTAATAAGAACTCTGGCAAAACTGAAGGTCTCTCTGTACTTCAAACTCTGCAATTCTTCAAACTGCAATTCTCTTTTACTGGCAAACTCCTCCCTTAAACACCTCTGCAGCCCAGCAGCTCACTTTTCCATCCTCCCTGGCACTTATGGGCAGTTCTGAGAAAGGGCAGTCAGCTTGGAGACAGATTTTTCCTGGCATGTTTGTTGACTCTAAGGAATAGCACCACAAGCCTCTTGATTTAAGGCAAGGAAAAGGAAATGTTGGATATACATGATGTTGGCTTCTTTTCTAGCAGGAACAGCATATGTGCATTCCTTTGCTACACAGGCAGTCTGAAATGTTCTACTGAGCTTTCACTTCATCCTGTGATCTCTGTCATTTGGTTTTATTGAAGTATATCCATGTTCTTGTATACAACTAGGCTTTTCAAGTGATTTAGCTTAGAAAAAAAAAAACAAACCTATGCATGAATGTCACTTAACATTCAAGCTCAAGACTGGGTGCTACAAACTTGACCAGATACTCCTACTCAGCTTGGGAACCCTCGGTTATCATGCCTACACCTCTGGCAGCTTCTGAGTGTCAGTGGATTTGCTGCAAACAATGGGAGATACCACCTCCATAGGGTGGAAGTGCCATTGAGCAGCTGCTAGTGTGGCTTGCCAGGGTATGGGCAGTGGCTCCCCACTTTCTACAAAGCATCTGGAGTTGTTTAGCTGAGAAGGACCTGGATCCCACACATTTAGAAATGCAAAACAGACTAAAGCAGATCAGATTTGGGAAGTGAGGGTGTAAGGCTGGAGCATGGGAAGGCAAGAGGCTGCCTGCCACACAGGCTTGTTCTGTATGTGGGCAAATACAATAGTCAGAGAAAAAGAACAGATGAACTAGAGAGAAGTGGAGAAAGATACAGAAGTTAAAGATTTAAAAGAGAAAGAGAATGCACAGGAAAGAGTTTTGCATTATGTGATAATACAATTCAAAGTAAAAAACCACCTTACTCAGATTTTGAAACAAACAAAAAGAAAGCAAAGACCATGGTTTGAGGAGTTGTGGGTTTTTGTTTTCTGTGTGTTGGGTTGGTTTTTTTTCTTATAATCTACTCCAGAATGAGCTTTAGCCTTGACTCTGTGATACACAGATCTGGTGTTAATAACAACATCACTGTTTCTGTAGAAGGCACCCCTGAATTTCTGTAGTCTCTCAGCTAAAGATAATCAGATGTTCTATCAGGATTAGCAGTACTAGTGGCCTCTGACAAACCCTACCTCATGGTCATTGAATTTCAAATCAATAAAGGGGAGAGCCTGCACACACAGGATCAGAGCTTTGGGTACCAGCCAATGAGCCACAGAGAAGTGTCTGCACCTGTATTTTAGTGAAATAGTAGCACTACTATTGTAGTGAAATAGTAGCAATACACTAGTAGTAGTGTATTGTAGCACTCATGTTACAGTGCAATTCCACCCAGTTTCAAGCCTTACCCATCTGGAAAGGGATGGAAAAAGGGCTCTGATAGTGGAAATATTAAGAGACCGGTGGTGGAGTAGGGAAGCATGATGAACTGTAAAAGGAAACAGAACTGATTACGTGTGGGCTATTGTGAAGGGAGCCTGAAAAGATAAATGAAGACAGAACTTGTGTCCACAGCAAGATTTACCAAAAAAAAAAAAAAAAAAGAAAAAAGGTTTGTTAGTCTAGAATTTTAAAAAAGCTAAATGGGGTCTAATACATTAAAACATGTTAGTAAATATTACAAAAGATACTCCATTATGTGTAATTACTTTGTAGAAAGCAGTAGACTTTAGAAACAAAATTCAGACATAGCATGTGTCTAAAATAACCCTCATAGAAACAAAGACACAAAACCTACAGTCTTTTTGC